GTCGGCGGACTAAGCCGGAGGCTCTTAAGTATTCAGAATATATAAAAAATATTTTTCGAATTATAAAATAAATATGCGTATAAAATGAAAATAATACGAGATATTTTTCCAATTATAAAATCAATATATTGAATTCATCAATTATTCCTTCTAATATATTCTTCATATATATCAATTTTTAAAACTCAAATTTATGTAATATAAGGTTTATCTTTCGGGGCTAATGGATCACTCCTATTATTTCGAAAATAAAAAAAATAAATCATATCAATAAAATCAAATATATTGATTCTTGTCGTTCTTGTCATATTCTCATTTATTCTCATTTAGACCGAAAAATATTGTATTTTTGGGTTCCTTTTATTTCCCACCCACGTAAAATGTTGAAGCTTCCGGATAATCCTAGAAAGATTACCTCGGAAGCACGCATCCATGTGGGATCTATCCCTCTTCACTTCAAGTGCCCATGCGGCGGTTGGCATGTCTGCCGACGTTCTTCTTCGCAGCTCTTCGAGCAAATCCACGAAAGGCTTCGAATCGAGCAACGACTTCATGACAGTGGGCGTGGCAAAATTGACAAGGCTCGCCGGTCTTCTCGAACACGCCTGCGCAGCCCTTCCTTGTACAAGGCTTTCCGTTGCTCTCCTCGCAGCCTGCGGCTGCTGGCAAACAGGATGGTTTGCTAGTGGAGTTGAATGCAGGGCTTGGTGGGGTTAGTAACCTGAATAATAAGATCAGGGCCGTGCCCGAAGTCCATCATAAGCTACGGAAGCATGTTGTTTTGAGGCTTGTTGAAAGCAGGACAAAGATCCTGCGGTGCCACAAAAAGGCAGCCCCCCACGGTGCCCCTGGCCTATGATTTTAAAGCGTTCAATTGCTTCAGCAATCCGGTCTTGCCTGGTTGCATAAAGCGTGGATCCTTGCAAGGTGACCAGTCCATGTCCATCTGAGCAAGCTGCTGGTCAGTCACCTGACGTACCGTTGCTGAATCTGGACTAAATTGCAACCCCCCATCGAAAGGAAATGTGTTCTTTACCAGGGACCTCTGACGTACAAGGCCAAGTAATGCTTTGCAGGCATCCTTGCTCTAAACGGTCATGACCATGTCCAAGTATCAGATACCTAAGTTGAATGCCTACACCAAACGTTTAAGCCCCCAAACCCCAAATCATCATGCTCTTAAACCTGAAGCCACGGTTTACAGGCTTCCCAAAAAAGGGATACCCGGTTGCAATTCTAGCGCTTTGCGGTCAAGGGGTCGCCTTATTACGAACATTGCTTCTCAAATTCACGTCCTGAATCTTCAAACCTCAGCACGGCTATTTCACAAAATCACCCTTTATAATCCCTAATGAAGACCCCGCCATAATCCCCTTATCACCCTTGCATATTTCTAGGTTTACTACGGGCCCCTCCCAGTTAGCGACACTCCCATGTCAATCCGGTCACTGTCAGAGGATCCAACAGCCTGGATGCTGGGGCAACGCACGTTCAAGGTGTAAGTTCTTGGGGATAAGGGGTTCAGGTTTTGGGCTTTCCGGATTTTGGAGTTTCAGGTTTTGGGTTTTAGCATTTAAGGTGCAGAGTTTGGGGGTTTAGGATCCAGGGTTTGAGGTTATGACTTCCTCTGCCTGCGGGGTGAATGTATGGCCTTAGCTTATGGCATGGGGCTTCGTCAGGTGGTTGCTCGTATGATGTACCACTCCTGCTCTGAAAAAACGGAGGGTGTGAGGTCCATGATTGAAAAGAACTCTCAACACCCAAAGCCGGTGACCTGAACCTTATGCCAAGAACCGGAACTCTAACCCTAAACCTTTCATTAATAAAACAAGCGGCCGACGAGGGGGGCCAGACTTGGAGGCCCGGGGCAGCGGAACTCCTGGGAAATTCTGGACATCAGGACCCCTGCTTTGATAGGATCCCATGGGAGGTTTTCTCAAAATTTTGAAGCTACCAGTGTCTGCATAATGGGCATGGATAGGCATGGAGTGTCGCCTTTTAGGAACATGTATGGCCAATTCTAATTCGGACCACTGCCCCACTAAGGTTGAACACAACAGGTTTGAGTACAAGACTACTGAAATTCAAAGCGCTTGACCAACCATTTTTTGTGAAGCCTTTGCCTGGGAACTGCACGACATTAGCCAGACTCTGCACTCGAGATGGGTCCTCCTGGCACACGCAACGCCTCAAGTAACCATTTGCCCGAAACATGACGGAGGCTTTGGGAATCAGAGTTTCAGGTTGGGTTGACGATTCATCAGGCCTTCTATCAAGGACTCATGCTGGCAGTCTTCTCGGAAAATGATACCTCATGGCATCCGAAGGTTTGTGTCCAAACAGCGAAGATGTCTTTCCGTATATATGAGTGCTGCATGGTGTAGAACGATTCTTGCAATCACTCGTTTCGCAGAACTTGTTTTGTATGACCAACATGGCCTGCATGTTAAGGATTCCCCTTGAGCGCTAGTTGTGGGTTCAAAATCGAAACAGGCAAAATCATTACTATGTCATTCGAAGTGCAGGCGATGCCAGTAGCCAATTGATCCCGGCGGCACTTCAGCCATGGGACCAGCCGGAACCTGACTGATGCGCGTCAAAAGAATTGCTACACGCAATCACGTATACTGCCAAGCATTCAAACACTGCAGAGCCTCTAAGGCCTATAGCTATAACTTCGATGCACGTGTTGGGGGACCTAAGTCATGTCTCCTTCTTAGAATCTGTGCATGTTATTCCGTCCCCGCCTGTTCCACACCAGTTACCGCCACTCGGGCAACATCTCGGGTATCCGGCATGCGAAACGTGGTGTGCTGCCGACTCTTGCCGATGATCTCACCTCGGGGAGATTGTGTCTCTCAAGACCATGATTTCGTTTTGCCCCCTGGAACCCCAACAAAAAGATCCCCAGGATTTTAGGCGTATATTACGATACTACCAGACACGAGCTTCGATAAATGCAAATCTGATCCATAGACGAAAACCCACGGATTCTTGATGAGTCTTCAGGAAACATAACAAACCTGCATACCGAACAAGGATTGTTTTGTTCACAATTGCATGGCTCGGGATAATGCATGGCAACCCCCATGGATTTAAAACAAAACCACATTCCAACAGCCACTTGTGCGCCATAAGCGTGCTGCTCAAGGATCCTATTAAGCGAAATGCAACGCCCACGCCTGTTTGTCGCAGCAAGATCATGGATCCTTCCCACCGTCCAGACGTAAACTTACCTCTCCTCGGCTACGATTCACAGTTTCAAGTTTAGGGTGTCGGATTTAAAGCTTTTCGGGGAGAACACAAATTTTGCCGGACCGGGACGCCGACTCGCGCAGCAAAAACATCAAGAACATCCTTCATCAATTGCTGCTTGGTACGTACGACCGCTTGGGATAGGCTGATTTCAATCAGAGAATTAGGTGTGATTGCTTCAATGGAAAGCCGGATTTTCGGGCAAACTTACTGACAAGGTTTGAGTACTGGAATTCTCGGTTTTGCAGGTTTTGAGGGTTCTATACGACCATTATCATGATTACGCATGGTATCTATTCACGTTGGCACATAAGCATATTCTAGTCCTCATAAATAATGGGCCCAAACATAGACCCCAACCTACTTCAGCCGTTATCATATGCACAAAGTGGCTCCTCAGTTTTGGAAGCCCACATATACATATACATAAACTTATACATATACATACGTCTTTTTCGGATCCCGTCAGCTACTTCGGGGTCACCCTCGGGGCTTCATTGAAAGAACAAGTTTAAGCTTCCCATTCGAAGCATCTCTAGTAAGGGTTTCACATAAGGAAACGAACAGGAAGAGATGATTTTCATTCGAATTTATTAGGGATGTATATACAGAAAGCCAGGAGACACATGTGTCCTTCAAACTTCAAGCAGATTTGCTAAGAAGTCTTTGTAGAAAAGGTGAAGGCTCAGAAGCAGGGAATTCAGATTCACATTTAAAAGCACCTTCTATATAGGATCTTGAGGAAAGAGCATTATCAGGAATCCAGAAAACGAAAATTCCTGATTAATCTTGAGGCACATGCGCGGCAGGATTCACAGGAAGAACGTCAATGCTAGAAAGGAGAATCCAGGCTTGGATTGTAATCTTCCCAAGCAAAGTTTAAGAAAGCCTGGGAAGCAAAGTTTAAGAAAGCCTGGAACCCGGGATCTGAAAATTCCTATCAAATTTGAAGCACATCTTGCAAAGGACTTGCACAGAGAATCAGGGAAATCAAGGCTCGGGATTTCACAAGCCCTATATTGTTTCATGGCAATTTAAGAAACAACAGCCATGAACCATGTAGAACACAATGCTAACTGACTGTATGCTCTCGCATTCACTCTCTTACACATAAAACCTATCGTTTGTATGAGACCCAAAGCCATCCCAAGATTGATCTTGGGAGGAGCATGTATACATAACCTACACCCTACATAGTGTATGATATAGATCTATGTCTGTGAAAGTGTACCTGCATATGTATATATACATATATACACACAAATACAGAACTTTGCAAGCAACGCCAAGCTTCCAATCCCATGCTTCGACTTCCGTTTGGGATGCCACCCTGGCTGGGATTTTGGTGCCTGGTTGCTGGTGCTCAAGCCTTAGGTGGCCAAGGTTGTCTTACAGGGTTGTGTATTTCGGAAGTGGGGCTTGAAGCTGAAGCTTTAGGGCAATCTCAGGCATCGGGTATCTATTGCCTTCCCAAAGTTGTTCTTTTGGTTTCCTTTGGGGCTTGTTACCTACTGAGAGGCAAGAAGCAATCGATACACGCAAAGGCGGCGATTCCCGAGGGTGTAGTACATACCCTGGTGCCAATAGATGGGGAGCTCTTCAATGTCAGAAGGCAAAACATTGCCTGCCAGGATCTCCGTAAGTGTTCCCAACACACTTCTGCCATCTTGAAAGTGGGTCGAGCAACTGCCTTGTGAGAAGCCGATTTGCGATGGGGGTATCTCCACTGTGGCGCCAACGGTATGCGGACAATCTGGCCAAGATAGGCCACATAGGCATTCATTGCTTTCCTCAGCTGCTGTCACGGGACTTAAGCTCAGAATGCAGCGATACGACTTCTCTCAGGCAGGGGTACTTAAGTTGAACCTCCTGAGAAGAAACCAAGACTCTGGTTGATGTTGGGACACGTCCAAACCCTTGAGAAGCAACGAGGGCAAGTAGGGAAGACCACGTGTCAAGCATGAGCGCTCGCGATAGAGGCTGTCATGAAAGGCGTCCCGGCCTAGTTTTCTGGCTGCTGTCATCATCTCCCTCAGCACCTTGCCAGTTTTGCGGATAGCTTTGGAAAAGGTGCCCGCATCTACTCCGGCAATAGACAAGGCTTCGGCAAAAGACCGGCCCATTAGCCAAGCCCGTGTAGCCAGCACCATAGCCTTCCCATCAGTCAAGACTCGTTGGAACTGCTCGAAAGTCAAGAAACCACCACGCCAGTTGTTGACGTAGTCTCGGTCCTTGTCAGACGTCATGGTGGCAAGCCCGCCCGCCACATAAGCATCGGAAACGAGTCGCGCGTATCCGAAGACCTCTATGCATAAGGCGTTCACCTGTTCTCGGAAGTGTGTGACTTGCGGGTCGTCAGATCTTGCATCCCCCTTCGTAAGGAGTTCCTCGTCAATGTGTTTACATTCTCTCCTCGACTTGTCATCCTGCTGCTTTCGAAACTTGGGCGCTACTGCAAAAATGCTCAATAATGAAACCACCTCCAAGACATCGAACCGCTCAAGCATCTTGTCGCGAAGCAACATGGTCATTTCATTAGCAAGGGATCACAAGTCCACATCGACGCTGCCGCATGCCCCAAAACGGTCAACTTGCGCTGTTGCGACAGGAAGCCGAAGGCTTCGAGGACGGCAAACATGAATTGCTGGGCTTGCTGCTGGCCAATTTTCAAAGAAGGCTGACGAGTCTGGAATTGGCGGAAGGTCTGCAGGACAAACCAATTCACATAACCAGCGTGCCCGAACTTCAGCAGATTGAGAAGTACAGGCAGACGCAATGTGTATGAGCTTGTAACAGGTTCGACACTGCCCAAAGCCAAGCTTCGAAACCGCTGAATGTTGGCTTTAGCTTCCCTGCCTCTGTCTGATTTGGTCTTTCCACTTCCGCTGTCCAAGTCCGTCATGCAGAAGAGCACGTTGCCATGCTTGTCACGGCCCCTGCGCCCAGCTCTGCCTGCCATTTGCTGGTACTCGCCAGAACGTACCGGGCGACGGTCACAACCATCACACTTCATCAAACCGTCGCTGGTGAAAGCAAAGGCCACAGACTTTGCAGGCAGGTCCAAGCCCACTGCACAGGTCTCCGTACAAAAGACCAGCAGCAAAAGCCCCTGAGCGCATAACCTGGGTGTATGAATGAGTAGAACTTTTTGAAAATCCCGGCATCTTGAGCCGCACTACGATGGAACGAGGAAACCAAAAAGAAAGCCTCTAATTTCAAAAACCGACCTAGCAGCCTCTCCACCAGCTCACGCAGGGGGGCAAGGAGGCCACTGTGGTGCATAGCAATACCATATGGGAGCAGCTGCTCCATGAGAATCTTCACCTGAGGATTTCTCCAAACCCACATATCATGGGGCTTCCAAAATTGGGGGGCCCTGTAACAGGTTTCTAGAGAAGCATCTGCAGGGCAACCCCGATTTGAGCAAGACGATAATGAACCTACCTAGGGAACAAACTCCCAGACGATAGTAGACCTACCTAGGGTACCTAAGGATACTTTCGGAGAACTAGAAAGCAATGATGGTGCATTGGAGATTCCCTGTTTAAAAGAACTCGGCTACGAAGTTTGTCAGTGCAATCCAAGAAAGGAAGAGTAGCGTTCAGAATCCATGGTGTGACCAACACGAACACGTGTAGAAAGCCTATGCAATATGCCAACCCAAGAAACTCCTACACATCTTGCCAACACCGAGTCCATGTCATTGCACCCATACCAAATAGCTCCCTATGCAACAAGTTCGTGACACGGAAGTTTCTGAATATCATCCCCCCTAGAATCACTAAAATTATTTACTTCGAGCATCCCCACCCTAAAGCCGTTATTGCACAAGAATTGTAACGTTTCCCTCCCCCCCCTCAACTGTCTTCCTCGCAGC